ACTCAGAAAGCAATATTAATCAGATGTAACTATAATATGATAAACTCCATAAGTAAGTAAACCTCTCTATATACAAAGTAGCATTCGCTACACCTCCACTGTCAAATACCGCCACCATTCTGATCTTCCGTCAAAGCAGTTCTTCTCAAAGGGTCACTAAATGGAGAAGACGATCTATATGTACCCAACCCATTATCCACTATGTTCTACGCAAAAGTTGTGTTCAAAGCAGGACTCTTTGCAAATATCGCACATCCTTGACTTAGTAGGAGTGTCGAATTCATTTCACTCTATGTCAGAAGCCCTTCTACTGTAAGCGAACGACACATCAGCCGACTTTATCATTGTTCAGGATAAGAAGTAGAGCTCATTTGAAAATCCACGGCGTGATCGCCTCGCATAAAGCGAGGCGATCACGCCAAGGAAGACATGAAATAATTCTTCCTCTGCTCAACCGGGTGTTTCACTATGACTATGTTTACTATGAGATCCTACCACAGTGCACTGCGTTAATTCGATTGTTCTGATGGATAATGCTCGACTACCCCTCGCGAGAACGTCGATGGGTGAACGGGTGGTATAATCTGGCTACCCCGATGTCCACAAATTTATCTAATCTTAGCCCACATGATTGCCATACTTTCAAAAGCCCATACGCCTGCTCTTCAAGAAAAAAAAATCACCAACAGCCGAGAAGTCAAAAAGGTGGTAGATGGATGAATTTCGTCCCGCCTCTCTTCATATGGGGAGAGTGACATACTGCCCAGTTCTGTTATTGGAGAGACATTGTGGAAAAGTGCCACTATCTTAGTCACCAACCTAAGAAAACTGCTGTACCCGAGCACCCAGGATACTTCCGCGCTGTTTTTGGTTCTTCTACAGTCTCGTTAGTGCGTAGGTTCCGACACTTGTGGACGGTGCTTGTCCCAAGCAGAAGACACTTATCGACGTGGTATACCCGAATTCTTGTAGGTCTTGTGTAAGCTTCTGTTACTCTAACGCATTTGAATTCTACGGGTTTTTTGATGATTTTCGCTTATCCGATTGTTCTGTTTTTGTGAACAATCTCAATGCAAAGTTTTTTTCGTAGTCTGTTGAGTAGAAGATTGCGATTGTATTCGTAATAACACTGACCTTATTCGTTGCAAACGAGGTCAACATTCTGCCTCATGTATGCGCGTTGGCAATCGTGCGTTATGGGTACTGCTGCGCATAATAGAGCACACGCAACGAGGTTTGCTACTCTGGAAAGCGGTGACAACTCAAACTTTGATCCTTTTGCATCAGAAGGGCTACGTCGTGGACGCCGCTCACTAAAAGTGCTGCTTTGAAATGCTTTCTGCTTAGCTTGATAGCTAGGCAAGACAATGTAAGTAGAATCACAGCCACTGGGTATACGAAGATGGCTGTTGTTCCTATGGCACCTTTTGACCAACGGTGCCGATCACCCAGCAATGTCTTTGATAATAGACAATGACTATCGCAGAACTTATGTCTATCACAGAGAGCGAACTCTCCCCCTCCTCACGATCATTTAGTGATTGCAGTCGTACGGTAACCTTTTTGTCTAGAGGTGATATGGGTAGGTTGTATTCGAGTGGATTAATTTGGTTTGATATGTTCCGACATTCCTCGTCAAAGCACAATCTGAACGGTTCCTCTGGTTGGGATGTTCACTTTTCCTCGAGCACGGCTGACATTCATTGCCGCGCTTAGTGCTGTAGTTGGCGATATCATGGCTGGGAGTTTCAGCATGATAATCGGGATTTTCACAGAACTTGATTGCTGGAAGCTCTCACTTTCACTCTCGAAGTTCCCTATAATTCATATGCAGCTGTTTTTGTTCTTCGCTGCAAGATTGGTCGCGTGATGGGTCGTTGAAGATTCTGCCCAATGCGCCCTTCTTGAGATGCAGTTTGCTCGCTTACGCACCGAATTTCCAATGCGAATAGAATGTTTGGCTGTCAATGCATAGTACTATGCATCGGCAAGAGGACCTTTGAAGACTGCGTAAGGTCATCCATGGATGCCACTGTGTCGGTTATTCTTCCATATGATCATTTTTTTCTCGAAAGAATTCTTGCTTGATCAGACTTCGCTAACGATTTCGTCTGAGGAACGATAGGTCCAATCGCTTGCGTTTTGAAGTGAGTACAATATTCGACCATGCCATGAGGGAATTTGCTTTGGTTTCGGATCACATTGGATCGGGAGTTTTTCTTACTTCGTAACCGGCGGACACCATCCGGTTGATCAATAGTTGGACTTGATCGAATCCTGTTCCTGATCAATTCGCTGTTCTGGATTTTCAATTGTGACGTCCTGAAGTAACTAGGATTTTTGGTAGTTGAAGCCAAGTTTGACCCTTATTTTATTCATTACGCACTTAAATTCATAATGTCGTGCGGTTAGCATGAAGATGAGCTCGTCTGCACTAGCCAGTTACTTGTGCAATTGAGACTCGTTTTCAACTTGCTCAATTTCCAGCATCAAATCCTTGTTTTATGGCTTGTTTTTGCAATTTCTGTACTCTTCCCTTTTTTCGTCATCGAGTTTTATGAGGTTCTTTCTCCCCTCTTCGATTTGGTAAATACCACTTTGTGATTGTGATATAGTTTCCCTGCGCATTTCGTGGCTTTCCCCATTTCTTGTAGGACATTCTACGTTTCTTGTGTACTCGGTGTATCTGAAGACCAGAATTCTAAGCGTTTTTGCACCCTTTATAATCGGAATTTTGTGGAAGTGCAGCGACGTTCTGTGCGAGACTTCCGGAGTTTCAGAGTAGAGGTCTCCAGGTAAGTATTTAGTACGGAAGAAAAGTTTCCCTCACGTGGGATGGATCAGTTAACGCGGTTCTAGAAAAGGCTGTAAGAATGTGCTCATTAAAAGAGCTGTCTCCGCTCCAGGCCCCAAAGATGTAACCCTTTGAAGCAGGGAAGTTGACTGTTAGTCCTATGCACCGGATGACCAGGATCGGTGCTGAAGACGTGATTGCTGGCCCTTTCTTAGCGAGAATAATAAAGGTGTTCCATCACATTTATCAGATGAGAGAGAGATCGAGAAGTGTGTTCGGATTGGACCGTAAACGACGGTGAGCAAAAATACAAGTGATGAGACAACAGCAGCGCAAACCCGAATCCACCCCACATTTTCCCGAGAGGACTGAGACATGTGATAATCGGGGTCGTCATCGATGGCAGGTGCGCTTGCGCTGTGATGGTTGAGTTCTAGACTGGGGGCTGGGAAAATGTCGGCAAAGCTGAGAAATTATCTGGATGGCATGTGAGAAAGATGTGATCTGATGATGTGAGAAAGTGAAGTTAAGAAAATAAATAAATGAAGATAAGATAAATAATAAAGATAAGGTAGACGTAAGATAAATTTAAACTTTGAACGTGATAAGTGAAAAGGGTATGATTTTTGGCGGGGAAAAATAAGGGGACGTTGCTGGTTTAGTCGAAGGCTATGCACGAACTGATGAGCTTCTGAAAAGTAGGGTGGGGAGAAGTAGGAGGATGACCTGTTGAGGGGTACTTGCACAACATTTCAGAGGAGTGTCAATCTATATTGTGAGAGTGAGAGACAAGTGGAAATGACCAATGTTGAATATCGTATTACACGGTAGAAATTGCGTCACTCACAAGGATGGTCTTTCAGAGCATGGGACGCTTTTTGAAAATAATTTTCTTCATGGTGGAGGGGCATGAGCACTGAGTACAGAACTATGGTCCATTTCCGCTAGATGGCCTTCTCAATGCCAAAAAATAGTGAAAATGATTTTGTCAGAAATTGCCGTTTTGACCCACTAAGCGTCGTTTGTTTCATTCATGGCGTCACTGTCCGCACAATAGAAGGCGCCTGTGGGCTGCGCATTGAAAATAACGTGGACGGTAGCCAAGAAAGGGAGCCACATGTTGAAACATGTTGAAAAGTGCGGGGAAGTTTTATATGTGCTCTCCACGGTTGAGCTGCTGGCGGCGACGGATTGTGTGGTGGATAGCAATGTGGATTTCGAGTTGGGACGGCTAGGCTGGGTTGTTTGTTCGGATTCCCGAGGCTTAAGCGTTTTAGCATTTAATGCTGCCACCTTCAGATTGACTCCATATTGCACCAGGGCCAAAGCAAGTGCCTGAGTGGTCATGGTCGTGACCAGGAACAGCGATAACCACTACAAGTCGTTAGAATTTGATGTGTGGAGCACTAACAGTGAAAGAGCTTCCAGGCACAACACTCCCACTCCC